TAGACAAAAGCAATCGTCAAGCAGGCAGATAATACAGGCAGAGTCAACTGTTATCTAGTGTCCAAGCACCTCAACTCTGACTCCCGACTCAGAACATAGGAACAGCTTAGGAGCAATAGCAGAAGCCCCTCAGGCAGGTTTAAATAATGGTCCAGATAATTGATCAAATACTTTCCAGCTTCACTTCCAAACGGGCCGTAATTAAATTAAATAAGATAGAGGAAAGCTGCAAAAAGTCACACTGCTTAACAACATGTCAAACTTTCACATTTTATTGGGAGCCCTTTCACACACTTTACTAGAACACTCCAGCCAGACCAGGAAACAATCCCATGGCACTGCAGCTGATGACTCTCGATAGAAGGGGGAATAAGAGTCAACCTTGTCCAATAACTCTTGTCCGCCATTTGATAAATCAGTGCTGGGAATGTCTGCAGAACATGTCACACTTCTCTAGAGGCCAAACAATACAAACTGTCTAAAACTACCCAAAAAAGGTGTAAAGCTTAAAAATGCATTTAAGTATCACAACTATTAATAAAAATGTATCTTGTGCATCACTCGGCTGTAGATCAAATCATCTCTGAATTGGTGCCGACACTGTCCTTCCTTCTGGAGGTGGGTTACTTTTATTCCCCATGGTCCCTGTGTGTGTTGTAAACGAGCCACCGCACCAAGCTCACTCCCATGATGAACTACAAACTCAATACAAATTAGTAAACTAAATCGTGAGATTGTAATCCATCACAGGAGTGAGCTTGGAGTGGTGACTATACTTTACAACACACACAAGGACCATGGGGAACAAAAGTAGCCACCCTCCAGAAGGAAGGACTGTGTCAGCACCAATTCAGAGATGATTTGAGGATTTACAGCCGAGTGATACACAAATAAGATACATTTGTGTTACTAGTTAAGGTACCTGAATGTATTGTTAACATTTAACTCCTGTGTTTGTCACTTTAATGTTGCACTTTCCCAGCACAGTGCATCACACATTATCATTGTACAGTCAGTTTTTGTAGAGCTGTACAAAGAAGAGTTAAAACAGGGAATGGTTAGAAACTCATAAGTGTTCCATTGGAGAGATTTGCCTTCATGGCTTGTCCTGGAGACACAGCAAAGAGTAAAACCCACTCTTTGTTGTCACTGGACCGGGTACCCACTTTGAAATATTTCTCATCTCTCCTTGTCCCAATTACAGATGTAAAATGCAGGATTTCCCATCACTTTCTAACTTAGGGACTAGCGATGAGAAAACTGGCCTGGTTCACTCTTAGACGTTTGCCAAACCCAGCACGGGTCCAACGGAACCAAACCTGGGGCCACTTGTGTCCTAGCAAACAATGATGCTGTGCGACTCCAACTGTTCAAATACTACAAAAATCATATTATTTTGGACAATGATGGTAGACTTGTGAAAGCTTTCATGGCAGATGCTACACACAATACATTTCTAACAGGCACTGTTCATGGGCATTCTACAAACTGGGTATAACCATCCATAGGGTTGTATCATGGATATTGTTGACTTGTCCTGAAGGTGCAGGCTCCACCAATAGCAATATAAAGTGATCGCTACATTGCTTCACTACAACCCCTCTAATTATCCCAATATGTCAGTCAAAGCTGCAGTCCACTTCAAATCTCACATGTAGCAGGATACGCAAATATACTGTAGGACAGCCTACAGTAATGTAGTTGGGGTGCTTATGCTGATCTCTTATTCTGAAAATACCATTGTGGAATCCAGAGGACACATCAATTGGGAACTCTTGTATTTCTCTTATGCGACATGGCCCTTACTAGATTACTAACCAGAAACTTTAAGTCCCACCACTTTGTTCAGAAGAATTAACTCGCTAAAAAGTGACCTCCACAAACATGTGGGCTTACTACCCAAAGAATCGCTGAGCTGAACACAAGTATGCAAAATGGCAGTTCAGACTTGTCAGTTTTCACAGGCTACATGCTTATTCTAGGTCCATAGAAAAAGGATCAGGATGATGGCCCTGGAGGTTGACCCATTAGCAGTTTCCAAATTTTCATCCACACAGGTGCACTTTAAAGTTAGGCTTTTAGGATAAAATAATGGAGCTACCAAAAGACTTGTTCACAAGGTCACTTTAAAGTAAACCTATCACTTGGGCAAGTCATGGGAAGTTTGTAGAATGCCCATGAATAGTGCCTATTAGCTATGTATTGTGTGTCTATGAATAAAACATGCATGAGCGGAAAACACCTTCAGGAAAAAACACAACACAATTTTTTTTTTTTATATCAAGAGCTATCAGCAATTAAAATGATATGCAAATCATGACTTTTCCTGTAAAAGTGGAGCTTGGTTGCCCTTGATGGCCAAGAGAGAGGAAGCCAATCACCAATAGAGAGGCTCCAGGGGTTGAGGCGGTGGAACAAACTCTCATTTCACAGGAGTGGAGATAAACATACATTTTGAGCTGACCATGTCTCTGGACCTACTGACTGTTCCATTGAAGTCGACCTCGCTTAAGCATTTTGTCACACCATAAATGCACAGTTTGGCTTGCTCTAATTTGTGATGGATTTACATTAAGCCCTCATTCATGCCTAAAAGTTACAGCCAATTTTAAAGCTTTTTGGAGTGTTTTTCAGGCATTATAAGCTTGAGCACATTTGTTTTAAAGCCCATTACTAGGAAGAGGAGATAGTTGTCAAGCAAGAAAAATATGCATGTGGCGCACATTTTTCCAGGAGATCCTATTGAAGTCTATGGGGCCAAAAATCTGAGATTCTTCCCAAAGAAGCTCATGTACATTGAGCAAGAAAGCAACACAATGCTCAGGTGTCCTGGGCACCATTGATATCCCACGTCGAGCGTTGTGTTTTGGAAAACATGCAACAATCAGGTGTGAATGGGGGATAAAGCCCACTGCATGTAACGTATTACTAGGTCATCCAACTTCACATTTCGTCAAGTATGTTTTTTTACTGGTGGAAGTTCTAAGTGAAAACAATTACCAACCAGACATATATGCAGCCTCAGAAGTAGAACTTTGCAAAGATATCAAATTCTTCTAAAACTATGTAAGCTAAATACCAACAAAAGGGAAGACACACGATCATCAACTCCCAGCCTACAGCCATGACTCAATGGAAAAGTGGACTGGCATTGTTAAGCTACAAATTAAGACCTGCGATAAGTCATAAAAAGAATTACTTTAAACTAAGCAGCTACTGAAAGCACTGCAGCACCTAAAACATACTGGCTAATAAAAGTAACTAAAAGGTTATAGGATGTTGGAAGTGGTATTATAACACAGGGCTAATAGGAGGTAACTAAAAGGTTATATAATGTTATAAGTAATGTTGTACCTACACTGTGCTAATAAAAGTAACTTAATGGTTAAATAGTGTTATAAATCTGTTATAGGTAATGTTGTACCAACAATGGCTAGTAGGTTACTGAATTGTTATACATTATAAGTAATGCTGTACCTACGCTGTGCTAATAGTGACTAATAAGGTAACTAAAAGGTTAAATGTTATAAATAGGTTATAACATTTGTTACTTTTATTGGCCCAACACAACTTATAAGTATAACCAGCCTTCAGTTGTTGCGGAACTCCAAATGACAGCTTGTTTTCTTATATGCCTTGACATTAAATAGCTGGCAAGTCACAGGTTGCCCAGCAGTTGAATACAAGAGAGATACTTCTACACAGATAACATACACTTTAACATGTGTATCTTCCTTTAATGTAACACACATAGGCTACAGATACATAGGCTACAGATACTTAGAACCCACAGAAACAATGGCAGGAAATAATTACACATTGTAGCATAAAGTTGGTTTATGTACTTATTTTTCTTCTCTCCAACTAAAACAAAATGTGAGCACATCCTTAAAACAAGGATTGGATCCTTGTATGTACTGCAGCTTGTATTGTAAGCGACAGCTTCATGGGGATGAGAGGGTTAATATGACAACACCTGGTGTCCTAATTAGCATTGAAATACCAAAGACAAACATGGCAAACGAAAATGCTCTCATTTATCCTGCTAGGAGCCATTTTGAACAACCCTATAAAGATACTTTAAAACTGTAATGTCTGGAAACATATGGGTTGTGATTTTGTTACTTTGTAACAACCCAAAACAAAAGTGTTACACAGAAAAAAAAATTTTATCCAGAACATTACTTCATTGCAGTGCCACAGGTGAGACAACAGGGAAAAACAGAGAGCACAATATATACACGCCGCAGATTGCACTTCCTACATGACAATCCAGAAACATTGGTTCCTTCTCCAGGAACTGCACCACCCGGATCTCTGTCCTTGTATGATTACAAGCCAACAGCAGACGGATTATGGGCAGATAACGCCACAGCTTGAGGGGAGCAAACCCAGAGCCACCTGTTTACATCAGGACTATCTGGGGGTGGAATGACACCAAGCAAGAAAATCATTTAAAAATGTGTGTGAGAGAAATGCAGACATATATACACACACATATAGAGAATTAAGTGTGTGAGAGATTTTTTGTATACATACATACATACATACATACATACATACACACATATACACACACACACATACATATACACACACACACATACACTACTCTATAGATAAATACATAAAAATGTATGTGATATATACAAAAACACACACCTTCATTCTGTAGATACTTGCAAAAAACTTTGTAGCAAAGACCTTTAGGCATCTAAGTTTGCACACAAGATTCACACTCGATACAAATTACAAAAGCCCTTGTTTGCAATCATTGATAAATAGTCCCCTTGCAGCCAGCACACAGCACTAAAGATATAAATATAATCACAGACACTTCTATAGTAAATACTGTAACTTTGTATCACATTTCCCCAGTGGTGGGAGAGATCACATAGCTCATCCATGACATTTACTACAAACAAGGAAGTCCTGACATCAGCCATGCTGGTAGAGAAGCCAAGGCTCCAGTGCAGTCAGGTGGAGGAGGGGAGGCTCACCTGTTGCAGGGCTTGCTCTAGTTGGGGAGCGATGTACAGGCTTTCTGCTTCGATCTTGGTGGCTTCTCTGCATTCTTCTGTCAGGTCCAGGTGTTCAGGTCTGACCTTCACGTCGTGCAGCTCCCCCACCTAGGAGACAAAGGGTGGCTGGTGTTACCCGGTGCGCAGCCTGTGCTCCCCCAGGTGTGATCCCCGAACTGTGCTGGCCCCAGGTGTCATTCCCCCCCTATGATCCCTGTGCTGAGCCCTCCAGAGCCCCCGATGGCCACTCACCTTGTTGTTAGCCAAGTCTATCACTGTCCATAACAGCTGGATGACTTCCTTCTCATCTGAGCCCAGCTTAGCACAATTGGCACCCGCTGTGCTAGTGAACAGAATCACCAGGTAATCCGGGGAAGCCGCAGTCATGACGATTTCAAAAAGTGGCAAAAAAACACAAACTAATTACAAAAAAAATATATATATACAAAAAAAGGAAAAAAAAAACTTTCACCTTGCCCCAAAAAGTGAAAGAAAAGCCCCCCAAAAAAACGACACCACCCTACACCTTGAATCACCTCCACCTATAGATATGGAAGAGGACACCCTGGGGACCTGCACTCACTCTGCAGGAGGATCCAGGCTGGGGGGGAGGGGAGGGAGAGGCCGGTTTTGCCTCTTTTTTTGTTTTGCACTCCTGTGTGTGAGCCAATACAATGCAGGCTGCGCCCCTAGCAGGCGCCTTGCAGTGGCTGGTGACTTGTCATTGGGATGTGTTTGCCCCTCCCTCCTACCCACGTGGTCTTACAGGTAAGAGATACCTGGCCAGGTTGCTTCGGCTTTTTCCGGCTAGGTGTTCGGCTCGGCTCGGGTGCGGTCTCTCTGGCTCCCCCTTCAGGCAGATGAGGGGATCGTGTTCTGCTTCCAATCTCTAATGAACACGTAGTGGTAGTTGGCTTTGCCATTGTTTGTAATGTGTGTCGCTAGTGAAATGGATTATTTTCTGACTGTAAAGATTAAAGTAGATGGGAACCCTAACTAGATGATATTTAGTTTGCTAAAGCACTGTGTATCATTACCAGTTAATTTTTGTAATATTAAAAATGCAAGTTTTGGGATCTCTTAGGCTGGGTTCACACCTAGGCATATCGAATATGCGCGTTTGTCGCACGTTTCATGCCGCATGTTTTTACTGCAAGGGAGAAAACGCGCGACAAAGGGTGTTTCCGAGGGCTACCTGGCTGTATCCCAATGGATACGCGCAGCAAATACGCCCCAAATAAGCTCCTGTACTTCTTTGGGCGTAAGGCGTTTTGCAGCACGTTCCTACGCGCTGTAAAACGCCCAGGTGGGAACCATGCCCATAGGCAATCATTGGTTTTCACATGTTGAGCGTTTTACAGAACGTAGGAACGCACTGTAAGGCCTGGTTCACGTTTTTTTTTACAGCGAATCGCGAAGCAACAAAAGAGCATACTCGATACCCCTAGGTGTGAACCCAGCCTGAAACACCCAGGTGTGAACCAGGCATTAAGCCGGATATATTATTATTACACAGGATTTATATAGCGCCAACAGTTTGCGCAGCGCTTTACAAGATAAGGAAGACATTACAATCACAATACAATTCAAGACAAGATGGTTAGGAGGGCCCTGCCCCTGAGGGCTCACAATCTAAAAGGGAGGGGAAGTGATACATGAGGAGGTAGCTGTGTGGGGATGAATTGTTTGAGAATGTGATAGTTCAGTGGTGTGGTTGAGGTGGGATAGGCTTCTCTGAAGAGATGAGGATCGTCTAAAGGCAGTCAGAGTGGGAGATAGACAAACAGGTTGGGGTAGAGAGTTCCATAGGATGGGAGAGACTCTAGTGAAGTCCTGGAGGCGAGCATGGGAGGAGTTGATGAGGGAGCTGGAAAGCAGAAGGTGTTTTGAAGAGCAGAGGGGATGGTTAGGGTGATACTTTGAGACCAAACAGCTGATTGACTGCAAGCACCATTCAGCTGAGAATTTTCCAACCTCCTACTTCAATCTGCTGACCGAGGGAAGTCGCTCCAAAGGATGCCAACAGCGGCACCAACTGTGTGTATTTCAGCCGGTTCATCATTCGTACCGTGTATATGTGACTTTTGATTCCACAGGCTTTGCACAATTCTCTGAATATTTCTGAGAGGTGTATAATTATATACAGAGTTACAAAGAGGAGCAATACAATATAACTGTTAATAAAAGTCAACTATTTTTTTCTTGACATATATGAGTAATAATGATTATTGTAAAGGGTTAAAGGCGATGTCCACCTTTTACCAAAAAATAAGAAATGCAAACACGTTTATAAAAGATATAAAAATTGTTCATTCATTATTTTATTTTTTTGCATTGGAGTCAGTAAAGCATTACAACCATGATCAGGGGATCATCAGTGAAATGCTGGCTCCTGCAGATTCTTCCTCTAGTCCATTCCCGCAGTGGTAGATCAGAGTTGTAGTCTCTTCTTTCACAGATCATGTAAAAAAATATATACAGGTACACAGGTTGACAACAAAAGAGCCCGGTTGGGAGACAGAGACAGAACGTTACAACAAAAAGTTTCCCAGCACACTCACCAGCCAGCATGCAAAAAAACGTAAAGGTTAAAAACAGAGGTTTAGATACACGTCTTCTGCAGAAAATGTGAGAGCCGCACAGCCTCGCCAAGGCACCTCTATATAGTGCGGTCCTAATTACATGTTCCCAAATCTATGAGGCCAAAAACGTGCAATTCTACCTGAAAAGATCACAGGGGTTTCACCGGCATATACTTATAAATTCAGATATCGATTTTTCCATTGATATATTTATTTACAGAGTTATTTACAAAAGGGTGAAGGGTTTGGAGAAGACAGGAGAAGTGAACAATCTAGGCTAAAATAGCTGATTTGGAAAAAATTCTCCAATTCAGTTCACTTTCCAGTTCGGCTATGTTGTCCTAGATTGCTCACTTCTCCTGCCTTCTCCAAACTCTTCACCCTTTCGTGAATAGACTTGTTAGTGTCGCTCTGATGAAGGGTCCCTGCGGGGTCCTGAAACGTTAGCATGATGATGACATGTTGTGACATTTGCACTAGATAAATATATCAATGGAATATTGTTATCTGAATTTCTCTAAACCTATGGGATCTTAGTTAGTGTTTGCACGGTACCATGCGTGTGGTCACCTTGAGCACCACCAATAATTTTTATGCTCTAAGACCGTAGGAGTGCAAATGGTACTTGGAAATAATTCTACCTGAAAAGAGGCTTGTGACATTTTCCAAGCTACGCTCAGCGCACCAATGAAAATCATGGTATTGAGTGTTTTCAAACGTCTGGAAACACGCAGCAAAATCTTCAGATGTGCACGGGGGATTAGTGATTGCACGGGGGATTTTAGCCCTGTTAGTTCCTGTTCACACTTCAGCATACCGGGAGCACAAGTTGTGTTCGCACACATCTGTGTGCGTTTTTTACCCCATTTGCTGTAGGTGACAGGTTCTCTTAATTGAACCTGTCACTTTCAATACAGGAGTTCTAGCACAGTACTGTGCTGGAACTCCTGTGACAGCTAAGGGGAAAGCAGCTCTCCACTCTCACTGTCTACACGGAGCGGACGTTCTACACTCTGCTCTCCATTCTACTTCATGAGAGATGATCTCCGGCCAGTGAAGAGAGATACTCGGCAGCAGGGGGAGGAAGGAGGCGGGAGGACGGAGCCAGCGAGGAGAGAGGTAGGCGCTGGGGGGCGGCCAGGGGAGGATGGAGCCAGCGAGGAGAGAGGTAGG